TGGGCCGTGTGTTTCAGACCCCTGCTCTATGGCATGAGCTAAAAGACAACTGCCTGACTTATTTTATCTTTCTCTCTAAGTGGTCTCAGTGCCAGGCGATGGGACAGAACACCACACCCAGAAGGTGTGTGAGTTACATGGGCACAAGCAAACAATATGTGTGTTAATACAGCTAAATGTAAATGTGTATGTAACCCACACACTTTCTGGGTGTGGTGTTCTGTCCCATCGCGTGGCACTGAGACCACTTCGAGAGACAGAGACAGAGACAGAGAGATTAATGAGTCTGCTCTACAGTGGCTTTTAGCTCATGCTGTAGAAGCTCATGCACTAAGCTTCAGAGGCTGCAGGTTCAATCCTGCACACCAATGACCGGGGTCTGTTGGTGTTACATGTACATCTGGGAACAAGGATTGTAGGCCACACTCACAGGCTGGGGGACTCTATCCTGGGAAGCAGTGACTTTGAGAAAGGTTTGGGGGGTGGATAATCAGCTGTACATAAGCTCCTACTTTGATGCTGTGACCAAAAGGACTATTGCGATCCTTGAATGCATAAACAGGGGAATCTTGAGCAGGAGTAGGGAGGTTATTTTACCTCTGTATTTGGCATTAATGCAACCTCTGCTGGAATCCTGTGTCTAGGTCTGGTGCCTACAGTTCAAGATAGATGATGATTAAGGCTGCGAGTTTGTCATAGAGATCATGGAAGTCACGGATTTCATGACTTTCCGGGACTTCTGGGACTTCTGCAGCGGTGGCGCTCGGGGCCCACCTGAGCGGCTTGGGCAGCCCCCGGACCAGCCGCACTGCCCAATACTGGGGCAGTCTCAGGCCACTGCGCGCCCCCCTCCCGCACCAGCAGGAGGAGTTTGGGTGTGGGAGGGGGCGCAGGAGGGGGTGAGGGCTCTGGAAGGTGCTTATTTAGCGGGGACTCCCTGGAAGAGGCGACATCCCAGAGCTCCTAGGCGGAGGTGTGGCCAGGCAGCTCTGCGTGCTGCCTCCACCTGCAGGCACCACCCCCACAGTTCCCACTGGCCGCAGATCCTGGCCAATGGGAACTACAGAGCCGGCGCTCAGGGCAGAGGCAGCGCACAGAGCTGCCTGGCCACGCCTCCATCTAGGAGCTGAGGGAGGGGGATGTCACCGCTTCCAGGGAAGCGTGGAGCAAGGTAGGGAGCCTGCCAGCCCCACCAACTGCCCTGTCTCAGCACCAGTGGGGGTCCCAGGCCATCCCCCCCCAGCACCCGTGTCGTCCCCGCGCTGCGCCCCCCCCCAAGATTTAGTCAGGTGTATATAGTACAAGTCATGACTTTTTGTTTACTGCCCATGACCTGTCTATGACTTTTACTAAAATTACCCATGACTAAAACATAGCCTTAATGATGATAAATTGGAGGGTTCAGAGAAGAGCCATGAGACTGATTAACGGATTAGAAAACATGCCTTATCGTGATAGACTCAAAGAGCTCAATCTATATGACTTAACAAAGAGAAGTTTAAGGGGTGACTTGATCACAGTCTATAAGTACCTACGTGGGGAACAAATATTTAATAATGGTCACTTCAGTCTAGCAGAGAAATGCATAACATGGCCCAATGGCTGGAAGTTAAAGCTAGACAAATTCATACCGGAAATATGGTGTACATTTTTAACCGAGAGGGTAATTAACCAGCGGAACAGTTTATCAAGGGTCGTGGTGGATTCTCCATTACTGGCAATTTTAAAATCAAGATTGGATGGTTTTCTAAAAGCTCTGCTCTAGGAATTAATTTGGGGACGTTCTCTGGCCTGTGTTACACAGGATGTCCGGCTGGATGATAACAATGGTTGGACTCTCTGAACGTATGACCCAGATGGGAATGCTGACTTTGTGACTCTAGGGGTGTGTTAACTCGAGTGACCCCTGCCCCACCCAGTTACATCCCTGGGATCAGCCAATCATGAAGGAGAGGGGCCATGCTGCAGACCATCCAGTTGCCATAACACCTTGCACCTGCGCTGGTGCCAAACGTATTGTGCAGACATCTGGGAGCACATCTCATGGGTCCTACTGCCGCAGTAAGCAGGGTCGCTCTGTGAACGCTATGGGAGAGCTCGGCTCTCCTTTCTGGCTCCCCTGCCCACTGGTGGTGTTAGCTCAGCAACTTAGTCAAGTGAATTGGTTCTGGTGCAGCACACTCCACATTTCAGTCCGCAGCTTTTGTTTCAACCAGTGGTGAGGCATGGATCCAACACAGAACAGGACTTGTGTCAAACACTGTCCTTTGTGCACAGGTCCATTGAGAGAAATTTGGGGCTCCAGTACATCATGTTTGCTGTGGCTCCACTCTCCCATTTCACCCCCATTACTCCGCAGTTACAGACATTTGGAGGGTCCCTGAACTCGAGTTCCCAGTACAATTGCCCCCCTCTCTCATCAGCCCTTTCCGGTAACTCTCATTTTGGCTAGAAGAGGCTGGTGCAGGGCACAGGAGGGGGTGGGGCGCATGTTGGCAGCAGCCTGTTGCGGTGAGAAAGCCTAACATGCTTTGCTAAGGAGAGTGCACTCACTGCGTACATAGCTGGAATAGTGGTGACAGCTGGGGCAGTATTCAATGGGTGATGAACCCCCATGCTGGCCAGTAGTTCTGGACGCTGGTCAGAGAGACTGTGGGGAGGGCTCATCCTATGTCATGAAGCTCACCAGGTCCAGGTGCCTTTCAGCTACAGAGAATACCTCCTTCTCTGCATGGACAGTTATTTCAGCTCTTTAGAGCGACAGCCCTTGTGGCAGCAGTAAGGTTTGCTGTCCTGATCTCACTGGAGCAGGTCAGACAGGGTCTGGGTCAATCCGTCCCTAACGAAAACAGGCAGGGGGCTGGATCCTGAAATTCCAAAATTAGTGGGAGTTTTGCAAAGATCTGGCATTAGGTCAGCAGTGTGAACAGGTGAAATATGGTGGGACTAGTGCCTGCTAGTGGCTCACACGCTCATGGAGTTGGGAACATTAGATGTATACAATACTAGAGAGGCCATTACTGAATACTGCACCCAGCTCTGGAGTCCACATTGCAACATGGAATTTGAAATGTGGGAAAGGGCTCTGGGAAAATGCACCAGAAAAATCTGAGGTCAGGAAAACTGGCTGTATACTGAGATTAATGGAGCTCAGTCTGTTTAGTTTCTCCAAGAGAATGTTAAGGATGACTGAATTGAGGTCTAGAAGTACCTATGTGAGGAAAAAGTATCTGATTTTAGAGGGTCTTTAATCAGGCATCATGTGATCCAATGGCTGGAAGCTGAAATGAACCACATTCAAACTGGAGATCTACCTATCTCATAGAATGGGAAGGGACCCTGAAAGGACATTGAGTCTAGTCCCCCGCCTTCACAGCAGGACCAAGTACCATCCTTGACAGTTTTGTGCGTGCGTGTTCCCCAGATCCCTAAATGGCCCCCTAAAGGACTGAATTTACAACCCTGGGGTGAGCAAGCCAATGCTCAAACCACCGAGCTATCCCTCCCCACACTGGCAAGAAGGTGCAACTTTTTAACGGGGAGGGAATTAAGGAATGACTCACCCAGGGATGGGGCAGATTTTCCATCTCTTGGAGACGCTGCTGTGTGGTGAAGCGTCTCTCTGACAGCTCTGCACCAGCTCAGCCTGGGCCTCTGGGATAGTGGGACCCGTGTGGAGCGGAGGAACAGTGCCCCTGTGGCAGGGGCTCTGGATGCAGTTCTCTCACTTGGTGTTGCAGGAGATCAGGCTGCAGGGTCCCTTGGCCTTGACAGCCATGAATTTCAATTCTCCTTAAAAAAGAATAACCTGAAAGGCCCCTATGACGCTCCGTGGGGTACTGGGGCCTGGCTGGGGGATGCTCTGCAGGAACGGGACTCTGTGGGGCACTGGGGCCTGGCTGGGGGATGCTCTGCAGGAACGGGGCTCCGTGGGGCACTGGGGCCTGGCTGGGAGATGCTTGGCAGGAACAGGGCTCCGTGGGGTACTGGGGCCTGGCTGGGGGATGCTCTGCAGGAACAGGGCTCCGGTGGGGCACTGGGCCTGGCGTGGGGATGCT